GAGCAACTGTATTGTGCATTACTTGCTTTTTCTTGGGTTTTATTCCTCCCTCTGTCTCCTTTTCATTCCATTTACAGTTACTGTTGTAATAATAATGGTGATGATAATAATAATATTTTGCCTAATTTGAATTCCTCAGCTGTTCTTGTCTCAACCCATGAATTTTCCCATTTTCTGATTCTCCTCCCATCCCACTGGAAAGGATGTGGGGGGAGAGAGTGGCTGTGTTGTATTTAGTTGCTGTCTGAGTTTAAACAGTGAAAATTACTAGAGAGATGTTGAATTACAATTTAGTTCTTTCCTATTGTGTTTCCTAATCTTGGGTTTACTTTATGCCCTGCCTTTATGGTACCAAACTTTTCTTTAATATTACAATGTCATATGACAATCAGCTCCCATAATGGGAACACTGCAGAGCTGCAAGATAAAATCTGACTATCAGGGAGTAAACCCGTTATAAACCTTCATTATCAACATTTTAAAAAACCCAGAAAAATACTGCATAAGATACGGGAGTTTTTACATTATTTATATTTTGAGTGTGGCAAAAATCTGAACAATCTCCTGTAAGGGATGAATGCTGCATTGATACAGAGCCAAGGGAAAAGCTTTACAGTAGAAATTGTTCATTGACTCTGTGACTGCAAGTGTGAAGAAAGAGAGCAGAGAGACTGCAAGAGCAGAAAGAATTAGATAACATTAATTTAAAAACACAACAAAGCCAAGGCACAGGATTGCTGTATAAACAGCTTTAACTGTATATATTTATTTCCAGTGGCTCTGAAAACAAATGGAAGATTACTGGGAAAAAAGATTAACTGTAACAAATGCAAGGAAATGTTTGAAGCAGTTAGAAAAGCTTTTTATAGTAGAGAAGTTAAATCTAGTTAATTGTGTTTGATTTTTGTTTTCATAATTACTTCCATTGTTTCACTGAACTCCTGCTGAATGTCTGACATAGTCGAGTTCTCATGCCGTAATTAAAAAAAATAAAATATATAGAAACTGAATACCAATGTGATTAGTGTTGTGTTACATACTTAAATACATGTGCTGCCCATACTGGTTGAGAGCTGCTTTATGCTTAGCTGAGGAGATAATCCATGGTTTGAAACAAAGAAACTGCTCTGTTAAGTTAGTGTGGTTAATGGAAGTGTTTGACTATACTTGAAGGTAAGAGGGGTCGTTGTGGTCAGGTGAGAAGGTCATGAGTAAGTCTTTGTAATAAGAACCCCAAATCATTTTAATTCCCACTGTGCCCCCATGCGCTGGCATTATCCAAGCTGGCAGCCTTTTGGAGCACTTGTTAGCAGCAGTCAGGGAGAGGTGAGCAGCACAGTCTGTGCAGCTGTTTCTGTGCAGCAGGTTTTATAAATCCTGAACTGGTGTGTCCTAGAAGTGTAGAGCACCTGACACACTGAGAGCAGGACATACGACATGTGATGTACGTGCCTTTTGTGGGTATTACTTTCTGAATCTGATTTCTAAAATACAGTTATATCAGGCTCTTGGAGCACAATTGAAGAGCAAGGTAGAAGAGTATCCTGCAATGCATGCACTTTTCTATATCTGTGGCACAGGCTTAAAACCTGATTGTGTCTGGAGGGGTAAAGCTGAGACCATGTTTGAAACTGCAAACTCTCTCTCTGGGTCTAATTTTGGTTTCCCTTGCTTTGAGATAAACCCAATAAAGATCGATAAAGTTGCAGATGCTTGTTGTGGCTCAGTTAGACCTGAAAATACTAACACTGGGCAACAGGTAAGGAGCAACCACTGGCTATTTTTTGATCGGGGTATCACACCTGGATGCTGTGGTTAAATTGGCCAGTTATTCCTTCATCCTTTGTTTTGTTTCCAATATATTTCATGTTGTGTATTTCTGAGTACAGGTGTTTAGTTAACACAGCTAACTAAAGCTGTTGAGATTGAAAACTCTCAGGAGGAGCACTGTATGGCTTCATGTAAATGAACCATTTTACTGAAAAAATGAATGTGCCTAGCGATGTCACATCTGAAGTAGCTTCAGTTTCAGCTTATACCATGAAACTGCTTTCTAAGAGCTTTTAGGCAGGTGACAGTCTGATTCAGTAGGATTGTGACATGAAGAGCAGTGGAGACTGTAGAAGAATTCTGAAAGGCATTTTCAGGCTCATAAATGTGCAACTGTGTTTTGTTCTCACTCCTTAGTCTAGCCAGTGTTGTCAAGAAACAATCCCTTTTCTTCCATGGTGGATGTCAATCTGGCACCTGTTGAAAGGAAAACCAAGTCAAAAGATCTGCAGTGTCTTCTTACAGTTTGACAGTGGTATATTAGTTATCATTGTTTCTGAGTAAAGCCAATAGTGAATACATGATTGAGTCCTTCGTGTAAGCCAAGGATCTTCATTATGGAGGCTTGATGTAATTGCTTGTGTAAGGGTTGCACATGGTGCATCATCTGCTTTGGATAAAAGTCCTCAGCAAGTGCTGTGATTTTTTTTATACACTAAAAATGAATATTTAAGACCCAAGGGAAGCTATTCACAACTTAGGGGAGCTAGGGATATAGTAGAAGCATAATTTAAAGTAGTTTATGGCTCTTTTAAAGCACTGTTAAAAGAAGTATCTTAACATTTCCTAGGGTGATCCATCACAAGCTGACTTGTCTGTTTAGATTTTTCCCAAATGTTTTTCTAGTTAGATAAAGGATACACTGAATGTGCAAAATGATTTGGCTGTTTTGTCTGAATGATGATAATTAGTAGAAAACTGAATTTTCCACATTCCTGTGTTTCCTTTGCAGCTGAACTGGGAGTTCAATGTTATGCGTTATACCTTTTTGATTTGTTAGAGTACTTTAAATTCATAGGGCACAAAAGCTGGATTACATCCTCCATGTCAAGCTGTTCAGAAACTTAACTTGCATGGATATTTAAAAGAATATTCAGGAAAAATTAAATTATTTCTTAAATATGCCACCCCAGGATGAATTAATCCACTAACAACACTATAACTCTAGGCTTCAGAGTCTGTATGTCATTGCACTGAAAACTTGCATCAGCTTACTTGTAGCAGTGTGATTTCAGAAATGTGGTGTTGACTCTTACTTTGTTAGCTGTAATTTTTACAGGTATCATTGATAGGAGCATTGTTCAGCCAGTGGATGTTTCAGTGCAAGATGTGGCTATTTGCCAATGACTCTGCTTGAGTCTTTATATTTTCAGAGGTTTATTTTTCTATGCACAGACTGATAGCAGTGGTGCATGCCAGTACATTTAAGGGAAAAAAAAAGAATTCCTACTTAAAATAAGTGATTCTTTGCATTTTATAATAAACATGCTTATAAACACAGAAGCCTGGGAAATTATCAGTGTTTTTCAAGTAGGCATGTAAAGCACTCTCTTCAGAGAAGTTGTACAAGCTGTGTGCTATAAGGAAAAGAAATGAAATGTAATCATTATCCAAGTACAGTGAATAAAGATAAGAGTTCTCCACAATTTATCTACCAAATGTGTGTCTCTAACACAGTGACTCTAATACCACTGTTGTAATATTAAGTCTGCCCACATATTTTGTGCAAAATCTCTGTGGTGAGGCATTCATTGCCTTGAAAAGCTGACACAATGGAATGCTTTTTGTGCTGTCTCTGGACAAATTATAGTCCATTTTATCAGTTCCAAGGTCAGAGTATTATCATGGCTCTTAAACTGTAGTGTAGTAAAGTGGGCTCTATTGGATGTTCAAGGAACAGCTGTAGGTTTGCCTGATTACTGCAGCCAGGTATCTCCAGCACCAGAGACTTTTGTCTGAACCTATTTCTCTTGTCTACATTCTCATTTTTGCTGTAATTTGATTTCAGAATTGATTTTTACTGCAATATATATGGAGTTGTAGAGTTAAGGCACTCTCAAGACATACAGCAGCCATCGTTAACATGTCACTGTGGAAGTGCTTTCATTGCTTGTATCAGCTCTAGTGCTAGGTCAAGCATAAGTCAAAGGACACTGTTACTAAACACCTTGTACTACCAGAGTCTGTTTCTTTCCCTATCATTCTTGTAGACCACTTCTATCCTTAGAACTGAAAAACTTAAAAAGCCCTTTCACACAGAACCTGAAGTAGATTTGCATGGACTTAATGCATCTCTTTCCTTTTCTAACTTGTCTACGACTAGTCTTTACTTCCCTTTCAAAAAAACCTGCTATCAGTGTGAAACATTATTTTTATGCTCTGCATGCCTGCACTGGTGTGAGAACATTAATTTTCCTGTGAATAAAAATCATCATAATTTTTTTTTCTTGGCCCCTCTGAAATGCAGAACAATTATTTCAAATTAAGATCAGAATTATTTTTTTCCTAATAATAACTGTGGTATTCAGCAGAATCTATTTTTCTCACGGCAGACAGTCTAAAGCTCCTGCTATCCCCTGTGTGAATAAGGATAGTTCCTTTCCCATTTTGCACTTTCTCTTCTCCCCTTTTACACAGCAGTTCATCAGCACTGCTTTTTGATGTGCAAAGTGGGTAATTTCAGAAACATCCCTCTACCCCAAACCTCAACTTTTCCTTTTTTTTGGTTCACTCTCTTGAGTTCATGACCAGCTGCAGACAGATGACTGATTCAGTGATGTGACTTCTGCTCTTGGGAGCAGGTGAAGGAATGTGGGTGGCTTTCTCTTAGCTGCCATGGGACCCCAGCAAACATGGGCAGCAAAGATCTCAGAGTTCCTGCAGAGTAAAATGAGGACAAAATTGCAAATAAAGGTGACATCTCTTGGTAAGATGGAGCTTAGCGTGCTTTTAGTGATATGATGTGCTTTATTGACTTACTGTCTTAATTTGACTTCTAAATCTTGTTTTATTATTAAGCAGTCGTGGATAATTTTGAAATGGGTACCACCTTGCAATTGCAGTAGCCCTTTTTTTAGCCCTGTTCTCTTAATTCTTTAGGAACACTGGCATAGTCTGTAACTTTCTGTAGAGAAATAAACTGTTGAAATACTTTTTCCTTTCCTTTTCAGGGAGTAATATGTGGGAGGCTGTGGACTATTTGCTTCCGACATAGGAACAGCATTGAGTTGGGATTCTGCACTCCTGAGAGAATGCTGGGAATCTGCAGAGGGCGACGGAAATTCCTGGCTGCCTCTCTGACCATCCTTTTTGTCCCAGCCATTACGTGGATTTATCTGTTTGCTGGGAGTTTCGAAGGTAGGAGAGGAATAATGGCTGGTTGGGGGGGGGTGTTGAATGATTTGTGCCTGGGCAGACAAATGTAGATCAGTCATCATTCATTTTATTTAAATAAATCTCTTTGGGCTTGCATATGAAATAGTTCCCAAGGTGCAGATTTCAACAAAGCACCTTCCTTACAGTGTTCTCACAACTGAGGATGCCCAGTTAATTGCTGGCCACAATTACTTGGTTTTCCACTCACCTTTAAACTTTGAAGAAGCACAACTCCCCCCTGCCCAGTTTGCTGATTTTTTTTCTGTATTTTCTAATTGGTAAAAGTTGGTCTATCCTATGCCAGGTAAGATTTTTAGTATCTTGTTTCAGATTTGCTGAACACAGAAAATCAATTATTATCTATATAAGGTTTGTTTACATAAAAGTAGTTTGATCCACATCCACCTGACTGTCAGTAGATTGTTTTAGTTGGAATATCTTTCTGTCCCCTTCTTTTTTTAGGTGGAAATCCTCCAGTTTATAGGTACATTAACTTGCAGCTATGTAATGAGCACTTTTTAGAACAAACTTGAAATAATCACTACTTTGTCTTCTAAATTGCCTGTCTGATGAAGTTTTTTTCTGGCCTTATAGATACTCAGCAGTTATACTTCAGTTAGGTGAGGTTCAAAGATTCTGGCTTCCCTGTTTTTTGCTACTTTATAGGTTTTTTGTTTGTTTTGTTCATTGTGGAGTTGAAACATTCTGTGTTGGGCTATAAGTACATTATTTTGGCAAGAGTAAAAAAAAAGTCGTTCAACCTTTGTAGTTGCCTTAGCATGAGGAAAGGTGTTCCAGCCTTGTAAGAACTGTTCAGTCACTAGTTTACAAGTTTGATAATTTAAAAAAGGCATTGCTTAAAATGTCAAGCTTCTTTCATGTATCCTTGGCTGAAAAAATCTGTGCTGTGTTTGGAAACAAAAGGGGCTTTCCATGTTAAATTACAAGTAAGAATATGTAGGATTTTCAGTGTGTGTTGCATACAAATCTGAATTAGTTATATGCCATGTACAAATATTTGTTTATGGAAATTTATTTGAGTACTTAAAATTCTACCTTAATGTGTAGTCTCCATGAGCTCATTCTAGAATGAAACACTTGTGGGATTCATGTTAAATTGGAAATACAAGGAGTGCTACCTGCATACTTAAAAATAATGATCTGGCAGGCAGAACAGTACTGATTTTGTTTGATTTTTGAAAGCTGAGCAAATGCAGGCCTCACCTTTTTTCTTTTAGAAGAATATTATGCTGCTTTGTCATAATGACTATTTTAATTGTGTCCACAATTGATAATGCTGTGGTGTTTTAAATTCCTCTGTGGGTAGAATCCTTTGTTTTTACAGAGAACTCAATACAAATCTTGAAATTTGCTGCTACGGGGTATTTGAAGTGACTTAAAGCTCTCACTGTGAATTAATCTTAAACGCAAACCAGGGAACAAAGCCCATTACCTATTGCAAAGCCTTGCACTGAAAAGGGCTGGAAATTATAGTTAGTAACTCTTCTGGTTATTTTTCTGTATCAGTTTTCTTTTTTCTTAATTTTGGATGGGGATTATTTAATAATTTTTGATTAAAAACTAAGGACAGTTAGATATTTATGTAACCCAAATATAGCTAGCATTTTCCTTAACTTGTACCTATTATGGACAAAAAGTTAATATCGTTTTGTTATTCTACATGACGACTTGTTTTTTTTCTCCACAGTGGTTCCCACAATTTATTCAAGTTTGAACTCTCTGTGGAGGTTGTAGTGAGGTGAGGGTGGCTTTCTTTTCCCAATTAACAAACAATAGAACCAGCAGAAACAGCCTGAAGTTGCACCACAGGAGGTTTAGATTGGATATTGGGAGAAATTTCATCATGGAAAGGGTTGACAAACGTTGCAACAGGCTGCCCAGGAAAGTGGTGGGGTGAGCATCCCTGGAGATGTTTCAAAGATGTGTAGATGTGGCCCACAGGGACATGGTTTGGTGGTGGACATGGTACTGCTGGGCTAATGGATGGACTCAATGATCTTAAAGGCCTTTTCCATCATAAACAATTGTATCATTCAGTGATTCGCTAATTGAGTACAAATTGCCTCACAACAGCATTGTGCCTTGATTTGAAACCATCAGGAATGTAGAGTCCTCTCTGCCTCCTGACATTTGTTTCTTTTGTTCATCACAGGGCTAGAAATTGTCCTTTCAGTACATCTGGTTTTAGATTTGAGTAAATGGTTCTTGTTAGACTTTTCTCTGCCAAATTCAAGAAATCATCAATACCTGGTATCTTCATAGACTCATTTAATTACTCAGTGTGGATGGGACCTCAGGAGTTCTCGCATTAAACTCCTGCTCAAAATCAGTGTGGGTTTTGGAATCAGGCAAGATTTTTTTAGGCCTTTATTCAACAGCATCTTGAAAACCTCCAAGGACAGAGAATACATGGACTTCCAGACACACCATGAATGAGTATTCTGGATAGTTTTTCACACATCAAGTAGTGCACCCATATAAATGGTGAAATCCCTGCTTGGGTATGGGGATCCTGTGCTTAAATTCAAAGGAGATTGCATCAACTGGTCATGTTTTCATAGTCATTTCATCACAGAAAGCAATCAGGTTGGTCAAGCATGATTTACCTCTGGTGAATCCAGTTGCCCTGCCAAGCCTGGGAAAGTTTTTGTTTCAAGGCACCTACATGTAGTTGTAAAATCACCGTGGTCTTTTATTTTCTAAGGAAAAAGGTTGACCTAGCTGAGTTGTTGTAGCAAAAAATTTTGTGGAGATTTTTTAGTTCTTCTACTGTTGTTTTCTTTGTATGTTTCAGGGCTCTAGACTCAAATCTCTGATATGACATCCATAGTGCTGTGTCTGCCTCATGTATTCTTGATGGAATTAGGAGTTACATTACTCATCCATGTGTTTATATCTGAGAACTTAAGTTATTCATTTGCCCTAGCAAGGGAGTGAGGTCACATTAGAAAACCCTTTAAAAGCTTTGTTATGAATCTGTAATACAAAATATGCCTTACTGCAGTCTGTTCCCATGTCCTGCTTTTTAAATAGTTCCAAGTTCCTTAAGACTGAATTTTGTTTTATTTTGGATTTTGTTCTCTTGTCAGAAGGTACGTGGCAGCCTGCTGCTTCGTAGTTGTCACTCAGACACTTCCAGTGAGACCCTTCCCTTAGAATATTCATTGGAGGTGTTGTTACCCAAGCTGTGACAGCAGTAGCTACTAAAAGCTTCATTAATCATGTATAAATCTCTATTAAGGTTATGAAGCAGAATATTAAAGATAGTATTGAATATTGTATGGCCTTAGAACGTACCTGGTTACTGTTTTTAATAGTGCACAAGGACAGCATAATTTCAGTTATCTGTTGCTTTGAATGAAAAAGCTAATTGTTCCAACATTCTTAGATTATATTCAAAATAATAGAGTAGGAAAGGTGGAGTGCATTTAAAACAGGGAAGAGGAAATAATCAAATAATACATGATGAATTTTCATTAGAAAGAAAATAGCAGTTTCACTTACTAGTGGTAGCTCCATAAATAACTTAATTTTCCAAGCTATATGCAGCAGTTTTCTATCCCCCTTGCCATGAAGGTCATGTAAAATGGAGGTTTAGAACTGTAATTTAACCATACTTTCTAGATTACTGATTTTTTAAAAAAAAGTACTCTGTGGCTGTGGGACCTCAGCAGATTTGCAGTCACCTCTGTTTTGACAGGGTGAAAATACACTTGAGTTTCCAGTCCCTATGTGGTGGATCCACTTGAGGCTGAAAGCCTGAAAGTGTGTGTGTGTAGAGCTCCTGTGTAGAATATATGTCCCAGGAAAGAGAGAGCCAGTAATGTAACCTTAAGATGAAAAATTGAAAAGTTATGTGAGATGCTGTTGGGAGTCTGTGAGAGAGCAGTTGACTTTGGTTTCTTTTAACTGCTCGGGTAGCATTTTAAAAAACAGAGTCTGCCTTCTTTCCTGACACTTGCTTTCCTTGATTGTCCTCTTTTCACTCCAGTGTTGGGCGACTATCATTCCCTGACAATTCATTTCAGTCAAAGTCATCTGTAAAGACATGATTGAAGCCAGAATTGGGCAAACACCTCATAAAATACAATAAAATAATCGAGGGAAGGCTGCAAATATTCATCTTAATATTTAAATGGATTCACTTTGATGCTGTTCACACTCTTTTTGTGTATGTTTCCATAAATATTCTAGTGAATATGTTAATTGAGAAGGCTGTCTATGGGAACAATGAATATCCAGTTTTAATATTCATGGGAAATGGATTTTGAAATCATATTTGTGAATACTTGAATCAAAAAACTGATTCTGGGGGTTCAGCTTTTTTCAGTTAAGTGCCAAAAGTTTATCACATGATCTAAAGGCATGATGAAAACTGCCTGAACTTTTAATGCTTGCATTAAGTTGCTCATAGAAAGAGTCAAACAAATAATTAATTACTAAAATGTCTATCAGACACTTGCAACTGAATAACAAACATCAGAAAATAATTCCCTCGCAGACAATGTAATCAAAAAGACACAAAGCGTAGAATTGCTTTTTTTTATTACATTTCCTTCAGTTGGCCTGAATTTTATCTGGTATGTGTCTCAGCAGGATTAAATTAGAAATCTTAACCTAGTATCCATTTAAAACAGAAGCTTACACCTTTTCATTGATCCTGTCTTTTTAATAAAGTTCTAAGAAAAGAAGTCCTGAAAGGGTGCCTCTGCATATAAGGGTGCTACCGTGATGAGTGCCTGAACAGTTGATAGGAGGTGTTTTTAGTGAATATTGGCTGTCCTTAGTGAGAAAGCCACCCCTTCATTTCCATTCTGGAGTAAAAGATGCTGGCTTACTCCTCTCTTGTTGCATTTATTTCAGGTGATAGAGAATTGCCACTTAAGCACCTCTTTTTCTACTGCAATCGCTGTACCTTCTTAAATATATTTAGGGATCCACAAGAGTAACATTAGTTATGA